CACATCAATGACATGGACCGAGTAGTGCGGCCTCAGTGATAGTTTAAAAAATTGCCTTTTTTCGAATTTCAGGCAGCAGCCACGCCCACAAAGGCATACGAATCAAGACATCCTGGAACAAAACCTTCTCAGTTTTTTTCGTACTTTACCAAAATACCAAAGCATCTCATAGTGGAGACACGAACCAAAACACATTTACCTGTATATCTTTCCAACTAGGAGCCGGAACTTAATATATAAGGTATCGTTTCAAAGGTATTGGCCTATAGAACAACACTAAATATGGTGGGTGTACCCACATGGCCCCTTAAACCGGCAAAAGCAAAAAAACGGTTTTTGTTTCGCAACACTTTAGCCTAATTTTTAAGAATCCGGTTAATCGTGTATGAAGCTTGAATACATTATCTGGACACACTCTAAAAGACCTTTCCAACGATATCTCAAACGTGTCGATTGGACGTCTGGATAAAAACTTCCAAATCTCGTGTATATATAAGCGAGTCATTTCAGCATGCTACTGTGGCTGCTTTCGTCACTCGCGCGCACTGCCGTGCGCTGTGATATTTTTGTAAAGCGGAAGATTTCCTTACTGGCTAACCAGAATGTAGTACCACAACCACAAGCTATTTCGCTAGCTACATCAGCAATAATACACCACAACCACAGCTACATATTGTGGGCAGCTTAGAGCATTTAGAATATTTTAACTTTAGACAGCTCTTGGTACATGCCACAGCCTCATCATTCTGGTTAGCGAGTTATTTAGTCACTCAAAGATGTGGAATATGATGGACTTGAAAATATTGCCGGCTACATAATTTCGAAAATGGCGTTGTCGAAACAAGGTTTCAGAACGCATGAAGAAAGTGATCAAAATTACTTATGTTAATTTTTTATCGGAGGGCGGTCTATACAAGCTGACTTCAAGTTTTTTGCATACATTGGAAATTTAAATTAAAAATTTGTTGAAGTTAATGGTGATACGCTAACCACAAAGCTTAATTTTTTGCAAAATCTGATGAGACATTTATAAGTAAATTTGGTCCAAAATATTATAAAAAGATTTTATTTGGGAAGAATAAGATTTTTAAATCGCAAGATTGCATTCAAAACAAGAAATTGACAAAAACAATATAAATAATGCGCTTGTGGTTGTTATTATAGAATAAAAAGAACAATTACAATGAAGTCGCCTTTAGCAGTTTACATTTTAAATGTTTTTTAATAAAAAGGTTGGGAACCACGTAAGTAAAAAAAAACTCAAGCACTAATATGATTTTTGATTTGATATATTATTACATTGGTATAAATATGGGAAAGAACATACTTCAATTTATTGTTTTAATATTATCAAAGCGACAAGGTCGTTGATAATACTGACAATTTATGAAACTTCAAATAATTGTATTATCCGACAAAAGCTGTTTATTGAAACTACCTTCTGTTTTGTATCGTGACAGGTACATAGTAGAGATGTTAAAATATTCGCTTTTTACGATCTCGGGATTTTTGGGATGTCGTTATCACAATCCCGGGATCCCGTAAAAGAAATTCTTCTACATATATTGTTTGAGAAGCTCTCCTTCCATAAAATTAATAATAATTATAATGAAATGGGTTTGAAACCTAATTTTTTATTTAAAGTGGCGTTTTTATTTAATTCCAAAAATTATTTATTTTAAAGGACTTTGTCATTTCAAAGATATGATTAATTCCAAAAATTATTTAAAAAATTCAATGCAATGTATAATAAAAATATGGGTATCAAATGCAAGAGGAAGTTTCTTTAGAATTTGAAAAATTAAAATTTTCTGGATTCATAAGGACGAATAGGTAATTTTTTAAGCTGATAAAGTTAGAAGGACGAAATTCAAGAATGTTATCGAATTTTTATAAGTCCATAATATATAATTTTTTTAATAACAAATATGTATTGCGAAATTTCAAGGATAAAATTTTAAAAGGACATTTTCCATATTTACCAGCCCTCATGTACCAAAATATTGAATCTGTTTAAATTCTACAGAATTTCCTCTTTAATTTGATACCCATACTTCGTCTCTAACCACATTTCACTGAATTTTTAAATCATTTTAGAATTACTGACGTACGATTGAAAAACTAAAAACGCAACTGTACTATATTTGGCCCATGGTTTCGCGAATATATTGATTTTTGTGTGTAAAATTTACTATCGCACGGTGTTATATGCCACGGTGCAGCGAACAAAGGTGGCGCCGTCAGTGATACCGCTACTTTGGTTTTGCCGATTTTGACAATTGTGGTAACTTGTAAATAAACCTTTGTTTACAAATCAGCGAAGGAGAAATTTGAACTATAAGTGAAAAATCAGTTTAAATTGTTTAATTTGCTATTTGTGAGTGATTTTCGAGTTGAAGACTGCGTAAAAACTAATACAATGAAGGGCTGTGTGTTAAATTGCGACAGCCCCCAAGATGCAAGAAGCGTAGGTGCAAGTGTAGCGCTGGGTCGAATAGCTGCATTTTGTGTACATAGGGCACGGCAATGCCGTTCCCGAAATGTTTCTCTATTATTATATTAACAGCATTTCCTCACAATGATTTTGTTTCTGCTCCACGCAGCCTCCATTAGCAAGTTAACTAATCAATCCCGAAGAGATGCTGCTGCAGTTTTCTGCAACAGCCTTAATTGCAAAGCAATGGAGTGCACTAAAACGTTTGCTGAAGCAGCCTAAATTGCAAAGCAATGGAGTGCACTAAAATGTTCACAGTTCTCTAATTGATTAGGTGAAAAATGCAATATTTTCGCATTTAGCAAAATTAAAACACGTTCTTCGCTGTAAAGTGAACTGCTTTGGCAGTTCAACTCATTCTTCTCTTCGCTCTATTCTTTGTTTACTTGTGGTACACAAATGTCAACGCCCAGGACGGCGCAATCTCGTATTCTATCATTCTTGGTTATATGCATAGTGACCTAGACATTTATATTAATTATTAAATAAGAAAAAGAAATATAGCCAATACTGGTCAAGAAAAAGTATTTCTACACCCAGAAAAAACTCCGCCAAAAATGATTCTCTCAACACAGGATTTGGTAACTATAACTAAATAATGCAACTATAACCAAATTATGTGTTGAGAGAAATATATTTAGCTCACTTTTTTCTGGGTGTATTTTTGCCATCAGTGCAAATTACAAATCCCGAAAATCCCGGGATTATTTTCCAAGAATCCCGGGATTTTCGGGACCTAAAAAAGGCTGGTATTCAGGGATCCCGGGATTAACATTCCTAGTACATATATACAAACATAAGTAGCTATGTATGTATGTATATGTTGCTAAGTTGGGAGAGCCATGGTAAATAATCGAAACTATTTAACTGAAAAATCAGTGTTGCACGTTGACATAAAACTGCTATTATATTACTTTTGTAATAGAATTTTGTGTTAGAGCCGGCTTTTGGTATAACATAGTACTACACATGAAAATAAAGTGGTCTCTAACTTTTAAGTATTACTGTAACTATATGTAAATTTAGCTCTAACTGCGGACTATGATTAATAATAATAATAATAGATTGGCGCTTACACATATGTTAGTGTTTGGCCGAGCTTCTCCTCCGTTTTGTGGCGGGCGCCTTGATGTTGTCACACAAATCGGAGGGACCTACAGTTTTACGCCGACTCCGAACGGCGACTGTATTTTTATGAGAAGCTGTTTTTCATGGCAGAAATACACTCGGAGGTTTGCCATTGCCTGCCGAGGGACGACCGCTGTTAAGAAAAAACCTTTTTTCTATATTTTTTTGCGATGTTGCTTTGACCAGGGCTTGAACCCAGATGATGTGGAGTGGAAGCGCGCACTGCTTACCACTATACCACAGCGTCCGACTATGATTATTCCCTTATATTTCTTTGCTCTATGTTCAATCCTTTGAATTACTTTACAGTTTAATGGTAAACTGTGTATCATTGTGCACATTTTTTTGCTTCGCTCTTTAGGTCTTTTAATTGTATAGCGATCAATTCATTTATTATGAAATACCTTACGAAAACGCAAAAAATGCTTTTTGTTCACAGCAAAATGCTTTAGATAATTCCATAAATGCATAGCTTTGAAACAAAAATATATAATCATAGGAATTCCTAAGGATATTCCACATAACAATTAAAAACAATAGGAGCTATTAATTAATACACATCAATTCGGTAGTGCCCTCTATTTCATTAAGCTTTGTTATCGATCAGAGGTTATTTTGAGAACTAAACATGTTCTCTAATATGAAACGTTAGAAGGAAATATGAACATATTTTGAGAAGTATTTGTAAGTTCTCCAACCATTTTCGAATCGAGTTAAGATGTAGCTCTGTAACGTCGTTCGCGACTCGATAATGATAAGAACATCTAAAAAGACAATTAAAATTCCTCTAACATTGGCATCTGTGCTTGATAAGGACAACCTATCTTCAGGTGAAGTTAATTCACAGATTTGGGCTAAACCGACGCCAAGAACACACTATTTGAACTAGCTTCTGATTAGATTCTGATTGAGCGCTTAATCAAAAATATAAAATTGAAAGCCCTTCTTACTTCAACGCCTTTTGTGGATTTGTCCTATAACTAAGTGCACATAATCGATGGGAACAATTTGAACTTTTTTGTGGTATGGTCTACGGTCGGTCGTGTGTGAAAAGCAGGTCTAACGATAAAACTGTGAGCAATTAGTAAAAGGATTGAGATAACTATGAATAAAATGCAATGCGAAAAAATACTGTTACCACTTATGGTTTGTGAATGGAAAAAGACAATTTAAGATGTCCCACCTTGCGATCGTGATTTTCTAAGGATTTCAGATTGGATTGATACTTGTTGTTGAACAGGTTGCTGAGGAGATGGTTGGGCTGCAGAGGCTCCGATTTCACTGCAGCTCGGATTAGTGGCTGTTTCAGGATTTTCAGTAGGTAATGATGATGGCAATTGCTCCTGAAATGTTGATTTGGAAGCGATATTACCAATGCCATCAGGCATACAGCCGCCATCACTATTATTGAACGGTTCCACTTCACTGGCATCATTTGCACGGCGATCAGATGGACTACCTGAAACAGCAACTTTGCTACCACAACTCGATGGGCACGATGCCGACGTTCTGGCTACAGATGTTCCTCCGTTTATCTGGGTTAAGTAAATATGAAGGTAATAAAAATGGATATGACAATGGGATCGCCTTTAATTAAGATACATTTGAGTTAATGAAAAAAAATACAATTAAACATAATATATAAAATAATGTTTTTACATAAATAATTATGAAAATAATTATACATAAAAGTGAACAGTACATATAGAATGTGTTTTCGAATGCACTCGAGAGAAATTTTTTGCCCACATTTCAAGTACTTATGGCATTTATTAAAAGTAAGGAGGAGTGAAAAGAATTGCTGGGATAAATTAAAAGCTAAGAGGTCTATCCGAAATTCATTGTTAAGTAAAGTACACATATGTACATAAATAACTGTTCCTAAGCAAAAAATATGGAAAGCTATAATAAAGAAATATTAGTAAAAACTGACTGAATTGAATCTAATTTGGTCCCGACTAGTCATACTTTAAACAACGCGCTTTTAAATTAAACATTTCTTTAAAACTAAATTTTCAGCAGACAATCATTTGAAAATTTTATCAGTCAGACAATCATACAAAAAGAATGAAAAATTAAATTGAAGATGCCACAAAGCCGAAACCGGATTGTCTCCAAACCAAACGTGACAAAGGATGACGCCAATTTGTTCCAAAATAGATAATCATAAAAAGCGGGGTGAAGCACCAAAAATTAAAATAACGGAAAGTATGCTTTTAGCGACACGAAGAAACTCCCTGGTTGATTTTTGCGGCGTGTCTAAACTAATGCTAACCAAACGCTTTCCTGGGAAACGAACTATATTCGGCTTTTGACACGTACACAATCAGAGAACAACCACTTGTATTTAGTTCCATGTAAACATTAAACGAAGCAGGTTGATGTCGCATTATTGTTGAATAAAATAGGTACACTAATCATAAGCAAACTTTATTTTTATTAGGTTATTTGACGAAATGTGGGAATTTAAAAACAAAAAATATTCATATACCCTAAAGTACTGCGAAATTCATCATTTGTGTCATGTCATGTTAACTCCAACAAAGTGTTATGCCATGTCCTTCTATTTCAAACATACTGTTTTAGCATGCCAAGCTCTTGTTCTGTTGTGTTTCTGCAGCATATTTTTAATACTGTTTGATCTTGTATGAAAATACATATAGAGATTTTTAATTAGACAGTTATTTAATGAACTTTACTGTAATAAGAGCTTGCAAAATTTGCAAAATCTCTTCGCGTATATGGGCACATCTAAAAAATAGGTACACTTTCCAAAAAAAAAATTAATTTTTAAATTTGTGAGCTCACCAATGTTTTATATACCATTTTATTCGTAATCTCTTAATAAATTAATATAAGTGTAATTCATTTTCATCAAGTGCTTCAAAAGTTGGACGAGGAATAAACATTAAATAGAAAACAAAAGAATAAGCTGGGTTCAAATTACGCTGTTCAAGTTGTAAACTTTGAGCATAGTATTTGAAAGTTGAACTCACTTAATTGGGATGTTCTAAATTCAATGGCACCCCCCATTTTACCAAATTGGCTCCGGTTTTCGTGATAGCGGTAATTGAATATTTGATTAAATTTTAACTATTTTATAAATAACTCCCTCAGTTTTGAAGTTATTTTACTAAAATTTTCCACATAACGGGTTTTTAATATTACCTTAATTATTCCTTAAAATTATCGAAATGGATTTGCGCTATAACTCTAACTTCATATCTGAATAATAAATTGTATGCGTGCTATATGTTAAAGTGAACCTATACTGAATTTTTACCCACTAAATTTGATGAGTTATAACGCAAAACAACGTCTCTGAATAATCAGTTGTATGGGAGCTACATGTTATAGTGAACCGAGTTCGATGATTTTAAGAGATAGTGAAGGTAATATTAAAATACCATCGAAAAGTGGAGCCAATAGGGTAAAACTGAGGACGCCATTGAATTTAGAAGGCTCCAGTTGAGTAAGGGCAACTATCAGAACCTTCGTTGAAAAAAAGTTTATTTGATACCACGCTCGAAATATTCTGACTACTAAAGGGAGCATCATTGAAAGTAGTACATCACGGTTCTTACACACTTCTAGAAAAAATTTTTTTTGAAGCATTTTACAGGTATATGTAATGTTATAAGGACTAGCAGTTATAGAAAGATTTAGATCACTTCGACGTATTTTCAAAATGTACCTTCAATTAAGATGTTTTTGGAATAAAAACTACGCTCAAGATCGCAGAATAGTTTATCTTTAAAATTATTTTGAAAGCACACCGCTTGCTAAGGTATCAAATTATTCGTAATTGTTTGTAGAATACAATACATACTTAAAAAATTCTTAAAATTAAATTATTTCAAAACTATACGCGATAAACCGAAAATTTTTAAAATTGTGAAATGTGGAGCTACATACTTTGAGTTACTTGCCATTTCGTTATTTTTTAATTCACACTTTTCTTACCTACTACATTGGAAGTGTACACATAAGTGCTAAATGCCCATTTAATTTCAAATCAGAAATTGATGTGTTTAAAAAGTTATGACATAATTAATTGTGCCCTTCTTAAAAATTACATAAAAAGTTTACTTGTTTTCATTATTATTAACCGACTTCCAATTTTTTTTATGTATGTTACCGCATAACTTTGGACCACGTTAACCGATAATTCTTTTTGCATCGGAAAGGTAGAGTCTCAGAGGTGGTCCCATACTAATCTGGTTGAGATCCGATCAGTGGATCATGAGATATATATATATATATATATTTTTTTTGCAAAAAGAATTATTGAAATCGGGTGACGTGGTGCAAAGTTATGCGGTAACATACATAAAAAAAAAAAAAATATTCCGACGAACTGATAACCTCCTCCTTTTTTGGAAGTCGGTTAACAATAGCTTACACGAAAAGTGAAAATCTTTAAAAGATTATTTTATAGGCAAATTTTGAGTCATTCAAAACGAAAACAATACCCTTTTTTTGTTTTTTGGCACTTTTCGCAGTTATTTGTCAAAAATCGACGTCATGAATCGACGTAAACGACGAGTTACAAAGGTATTTATGTGCCCTTTACAAAAATATATAATTTGTGCAGATTGCGCTTCATAGCATCTACATTTCTAATCCGATTTTCATTATCTTTGGCTAAAAATTTACTGTAATGATATATATTAATTATCGAATTTTTAAACTAATGAAAAAAATACTCAAATAAAACTGCGTATTTGATTGAAACTCTCACTTTTTTCAACTTTGACGACAAAATGCAAATGGTCGCCTGTAGCACTAATAATTTTCATTGAAGTCGCCACAAGTTATATATTTTGGTAAGAGGCACATAAGTACCCTTCGAGCTGTAAGCTTACCTTGATTGGGAGATTTTTTCATGAGATATTGAAGAAAAGCTACGAAAAGTACCAAAAAACACTTTTTTGAAAAAATCCATCCATTGTCCGATAATTTTAAAATAACGAATAAAATGCGGGACAAATGCAGGACACTTTGAAAAAATCAGTACATTTTCAGGTTTTTTAGGTTTGAAAAACTACGCAGGACCGACCTTTGAAAAACAGTACGGTCCTGAAAAAAACAGAACGGATGGTCACCGTACTTATAGCTGAAATACAATGCCGGCGAACGGCGAACTCACCACATCGAAATTCGTGCTGTCAAAATTAGAACACCCGCAATAATGTAAAATTGAACACAGCCAAAACGAAAAGCGAAGTTCGCTCGGCGGCGATTCCTGGCGATAGATTTATTTGTATCGCCCTGCTGGGCGATGACAGCTGTACGTACCAAAGGTGGCCGTATTTCTTTTTTTGCTTTCAAAGTTTTAGAAGAAAACAACATAAACACGAATTATTTTTATACCCGAGCGCACTTGTGCACAAGGGTATATTAATTTTGTTGTTTGTAACAGCCAAAACGAATCGAGATAGATATAGACAAATGTATACATAAATGCTCAGAATGAATAGAGAAGTCGATTAAGCCATGTCTGTCTGTCCGTCCGTCTGTCCGTCTGCCGTCTGTCCGTCCGCCCGTGTACACGATAACTCGAGCAAAAATTGAGATATCTCAACGAAATTGGTATTGAAAATGAGCGAAATCAGACAGTAACCACGCCCACTTCCCATATAACGGTAATTTCCAGAAATACGAAAACTGCGATATTTTAGTAACTACTCAAGATAATTCACTCAAAATTGATATTTACAATAGTTTTCAGACGAAAAATAAGAATATTCCAAATTTTTGGAAAATGGGAGTAGCCACGCCCACTTATGGTTCCATGTGTATATCTTGGTAACCGCTACACCAATTTCTTCTAAACTTGGCACAGTTATTGGCCTTGGTACAGCATACTAAATGGCCGAAAATTTTTGAAAATCGGACAATAACCACGCCCACATCCCATATAACGGTAATTTAGAGAAATGCAAAATCTTCGATAAATCAGTAAATATTAAAGCTAATCTATTCAAAATTGATGTTTGCAACAATTCTTTACCAATAAATACGCTTATGATAAAATCTTGGAAAATGGGCGTGGCACCGCCCACTTATGATCACATATATGTATCTCAGTAACCGTTATACCAATTTGTACCAAACTCGGTATGGTGATTGTGATTGTCACATAAAAGCAAAATGTTGAAAATTATTGAAATCGGACTAAAATTGCGGCCGCTTTTCATATAACGGTAAATTTCAGAAATTCTTGAAACTGCAATATTTCGAAATTTAAGGACGCTAATTTACTCAAAATTGATACACCCGGCTTACCATCTAGCGGTAGGTTTCGGAAAGGTGAAAAAACATATACTTAACACTTGCGCCGGGTATTTAATGTTCGGCTCCGCCCGAACTTAGACTTTCTTACTTGTTGTTGTTACAGTTGTGGATTCGTTAAAACTGGCTTGAAATAAAATAATCTACTATATATTTGTGGAGGTATGTATGTATGTATGTGCCAGGTTGCAGCCTAAACGGACGGACAGAATCGAAAAAAATTTTGAGAGAGTATTGCGAT